TGGCTTGGAGATTAAGAACAGTTGCTGCTCTTGCAGAGGACCTGGTTCAGTTCCCAGCACCCGCATCAGGATTCTGGTGCACTCACTCTCTGTGGTCTCCATGAGCTCTGCAAGCACATGGTGACTCCATGAGCTCTACAAGCACATGGTGCAGACAAGCAGACACAAGTACATACCTATAGACAGAGGCAGGTGGATCTCAGTGTCAAGGCCAGCCAAGAGCTACACAGTGAAACTCTGTCTTAAATTTTTCCCCCAAGACACAGTCTCTGTGTAACCCTGGTTGTTCTGGCACTTGCTCCATAGACCAGGCTGGCCTCAAACTCAGAGATCCCAAGAACTCGGATTAAAGGCATATGCCATCACCGCCCAGCTTGTTTCTGATATTTTTAATCAGCACTGATCAATGGCAGAAAAGAAGGCTCAGTGGGTAAAAGGTAAAAGCACTTGCCGCAAGCTTAATGGAGTTCAGTCTCTTGGACCCCTACGGTAGAAGAGACCTGACTCAGAAAGCTGTCTTTGGTTTCCTCACACACACCATAGTTACATGTACATTCATACACATAAAATCAAGATTGTTTGGGCTGAAGAGATGGCTCAGAGGTTAAGAGCACTGGCTGGGTCGGCAGTGGTGGCACATGCCTTTAATCTCAGCACTCAGAAGGCAGAGGCAGGATTTCTGTGAGTCTGAGGCTAGCCTGGTCTACAGAGTGAGTTCCAGGAAACCCTGTCTCAAAACACACACACACACACACACACACACACACACACACACACACACACAGAGCACTGGCTACTCTTCCAGAGGTTCTGAGTTCAATTTCCAATATCCACATGATGGCTCACAACCATCTATGAGATTACCCTCTTCTTGCCTGCAGGTATACATGTAGACAAAGCACTCCTACATAAACAAACAAAGCCATTCAATAAAAAGTGTGCCATTCGGGTAATCCTGATCTCTGAAGCCTTGGTCTCCATCCATATTGGTTTCAGAATGAAAATATTTCGTTTTGTACAAATGAAACACACAGAGAAATGAGTCTGTAGTCAGGTGTCGCTAAATTTTTTTTTTTTTTTTTTTTGGATTTTCGAGACAGGGTTTCTCCGTAGCTTTTGGTTCCTGTCCTGGAACTAGCTCTTGTAGACCAGGCTGGCCTCGAACTCACAGAGATCCGCCTGCCTCTGCCTCCCGAGTGCTGGGATTAAAGGCGTGCGCCAACACCGCCCGGCCGCTAAATTATTAAATTTGTGAAGGTCTAACATTGGATTTTGTTGGTGTGGTAGACCTAGGGAACTAAAGAGTCTACATTTTGCTTAATGAGCAGAACTTGGGCTACTATAGGAAAGATTTCTGTACAGTTCTGTGCAGTGGTGCCAAATGTTGCTGTCTCCTTTACATGTTAAATATATTTATATGCCTGCTGTATTGGATAAGCTCAGACGCATGGTTTAGGAGCCAACAGCTTGGGGTCAAGCTGATGAGGCCTACACTAGAATTGCTGGTGGTGCTTCCTTTTCCCAGGCCTGTGTTCATGTGCTCCTAATTGTACTGACTAGTTAGTCGCTTTAAACAAAGATAATTAGATGTGCCCTAACAATGTGCACTCCAAGCAGTGCCTCTAATAATTAAAAGGCACTGATCACTTAGAGTACTCCTATAAACAACACTTAATCTTCAAGCTAGTTTTCACTCAACATTTGCTCTTGCTGACTGGATTTTTGTGAAGCTCTTTAATAGCTGGCTGTTAGCATTCTGTAGAAGAACAACCTCCAACAAAAGAGTGAAAAGCATTTCTGAGAAGCTGGGACTACCCCGCAGGAGAGACTGAACTCAAACACAAGAGTAGATTCCATGAAGACCTGACCTAAAAAGCCACTCCGTCTGTACCTTTTATCTGCTTAAAACTAACTATGAAGGTTTTATTGGTACAACTCCTTGACATCTGTCCCTCTCCCAACGTGGGATCAGACCAATCTGAAGCGATCACCATGATTAGAGGGACAGCTGAGATCATCCGATATTGCCAAGCTGTCTTCAGTGAAAACTGTTTAGAGACAAGCATGGTGAAGGGGAGGAGTAAAAACAGCCCCCCTGGCATGATGACATTTGCAGGCAACCCCACCAAGCTGGGATCCTGAGCCAGGATGACAGTGAGCTGGAGGTTGGCCTAAGTGTCATAAAATCCTGTTTCAAACCAGGAAACCCTGTCTTAAATTATTCCCCCCAAGACACGGTTTCTCTACGTAACCCTGGTTGTTCTGGCACTCGTTCCACAGACCAGGTTGGCCTCAAACTCAGAGATCCCCCTGCCTCTGCCTCCTGAGTGCTGGGATTAAAGGCGTGCATCATGACGGCCTTTAATCCCAGTTCCTGGTGGGAAACCCGTTTTATATTTGGTTACTTGCAGGAATGTCTTTGGTTTCTACTTGTATTCTGGTAAAAATGGCCTCTAAGAAATCTGTTCTTTTCAGCTCTCCTTTCCTATCCTGTCACTCCTGATTTACCCTGAAGCACCTACCGAAGTTAAAATGCACCTATAAATAACAGTATTTTGGGGCCAGTGAGATACATGGCTCAGAGGTTGAAGATGTCTAAGCATGAAGACCCTGAGCTGGAACCCCAGTTTCCACATCATGGGGAGCTGAATCCTCTAAGTTGTCTCTGACCTACACAAGCATAAATGTGTGTGTGCACCCACATAAACTGTAAGTAAAAAAAAAAATTAAGTAATTTTTAAAATTTACTTTAAATGTAAAGTAATTAAAAATTTTTAAGTAATAGCCAGGAGGTGGTTGTGCATACCTGTAATTTGGGAGGCAGAGGCAGGTGGATCTGTGAATTCATGGCCAGCCTGGTCAACAGAGTGAGTTCCCAGGACAGCTAGGGCTGTTTGTTACACAGAGAAACCATGTCTCGAAAAACTAAAAAAACCAAAACTTATTTATTTGTGTGTACTTTTGTGGGCACTGACTCACCAGAGAGTGAAGGCCAGAGACAACCCACAGGAGGTGGTCCCCTCCTGCTAGTGTGTGCTGTCCTAAGGATCAAACTCAGTCAGGCTTGGCAGCTTTTAGCTACTAAATTATCTCATTGGCCCAATCTAGGCAACTGCAACATTCTCAACACTACAACGGGGAACTAGATCCTCCCCAATAAAAATCTACACAAAATCTGGTCTAATCTGTACCCTAAATTTCCTTTCTAGTCCCTCTAAACTAGGGATAGAACCCAGGGCAAAGGAATGCCAGACACACACCTGCCCCTGCGCTACATTTCCAGGCCTGCCTCCAGGGAATCAGAAGGTGGATAAAATACCAAGACAAAAAGGGGGGGGGGCAACGACACACGGAGAGGGGGGGAGGAACGGACAGGACACTACACGACCACAAGGACAGCACTGTTGCTTTCACTGAGACGGGGCTCAAGTAGCACAGGCTGGACTTGAATTCCTGGATGCTTCTGCCTGTTCTACCTGCTCTTCTCAATGGTTGAGTGCTGGGATCACAGACATATACCTCCATACTTAGTTTTAAGAATTTTCAATAAACGTTTTAATAATCATGGAGTGCCTGAGCACTTGACAATGGACTCCACTACCAAAAATCACTGGCTTATCTAATAATTTGGGTGTGGTGGTTTGCTCTTCCTTATTACGGCACGACTAGCAGTCGCCATGCGTGTTGGTGGCACACGTCTTTAATCCCGGCAAAGGCAGATGGATCTATGTGAGTTCGAGGCCCCAGGCTGGTCTCCAAAACGAATTCCAGGACAGTTAAGAGTTGTTACACAGAGAGACCCTGTCTCGAAAAACAAACAACAACCACCCCCCCCCATGACTAGCGAGACATAGTGGCTCACCTCTGTAACCCCAACACTCCAGGCTAAACAAGAGGAGAGCTGCAAGGTGCACTGTCTGAGATACTTAGCGAGACTCAAATATTTAAGACAGAAACTAGAGAAGCCTTTACAGGAAGCGGAGACCAATGAGCGGAGCCTCGAGGAAGTCTGTGAGACTAGGAACACACTAATGGGAAACAAACAGCAATTCACGGTCTATGGATAATTTTATTCTTTTTTTTTTTTTTTTTTTTGAATTGCACGTCTCCTGCACAAACATCCGTGTAAGAACTGGATATCAGGCCATAACTGCTCTTACCCAGATTATGAACTCACTAAAGCTTCACGTTATTATCAGACCCAGAAATGTAAGAGTGCCCACTTTTGTCTCAAATATCCTTCAGTTCTTCACACCAGCGTTGTGCCTGCAAAAACAGGGGCGCCGACTTGCAAAAGACAGCCCCAAGTCTGTGGCTCGCAGCAGCCTGGACTTCCGCTCCACGCTGCCCCCTAGCGGCCACCCCTCTGGCCTGGGCTTCCCGTAGTCCGGCTCCCCGGCCCCAGGTCTTCCACCCACCCCCTTCACCTCCTCCCAGTCCCCTCCCCTTCCTCCCGCCAGCATCCCCTTCCTCTTTGTCCCTCTCCCCCCGCAGCCACCCCTGCTCCGGCAGCCTCCGGGCCGGCGCCCACAGGTCTGGGCTGGGCACTGTCACGGCCCCTTCCACGCCGCTCCGGCCGCTCCGGAACCCTGCGTCTCCCTCCCCCTCACCTCTTCCGGAGCGCTGCCCGCTTCGCTCTTACTGGGCCCGCCAGCTTGGTCCCGTTTCTTTCTCAAGTTAAGACTCCTTGCCAGGGGCCGTCACTTTTTGGCCTTTTCACATATGCATATTTGGGGGACCTTTACCCCCCCCCCCGCGGAGAAATGGAGGCAATAAAATGGCGGACCCGGAAGTGAATACCGGGTTAACTATGCCTCCTGGCGGAGGAATCCGAATGAAATGTGTTAGAAAAGCCACTTTGCCTTTCTGTCAAAACCGCAACGCACCTCTGAGGCCGACTTCTTCCTACTGAGGACCTCTTGAGCTTGAAAAGCGTGTACCGAGGGCATCCTGAACGGGACTACTTAGCGAGGCGCAGGATCATAGATTACGTGGCTTACGTGAGGCATAGTTCCGGTAGGGGACGGACCGGGCCGGTAGTTTTGGCGCCAACGCTTGCGAGGGTGAGGTTGCTGGTGGGTCGTTCTGGAGTTTGCGCTCCACCTTCCTACTGGTTCTCCGCTGGGCTAGCCTTAGGGTCAGGGGAGAATCGCGCTTCCTCGTCTTAACCTTCGCGAGACTGTTCGGGACATTCCTGGCTATGCACGCGCATCGAACACCTGCCCGACCGGATACTCTGCCAATTAGTAGCCTGAATAGAAAGCCATTCTCAGGGAAGACAAACTTACAACGTTTGGGGGGGGGGGGGGTGACTGAAGAGGATGGAACATGAATTTGCATCTCCTTTAGGTCGCTTCATGTACCACACAGCTGATCTTGGTTTCCACTCATCGGTTTAAATGAATGGACTGAGAAAAAAAATAAAAGGTCCTTCAAAAATCAGCAACAGACAAGCCTCTAATGGCAGCCTAGGCAGAGAGAGCTTTGAACTCAAGGTCCAGGTTCCAGGCCCCAAATTTAAACACAAGGTGGAAATGGTGACACACCCCTGCAGAGGCAGGCGGATCTTTTTGAGTTCAAGACCAACCTGGTCTACAAAGCAAGTTCCAGGACTGTTATACAAAGAAAACAAACAAAAAGAGACCGGGCTTGAGATGTGGCTTAGTGTCTAAGAGCACCGGCTGCTTCCCGAGGAACTCAAGCACTCCGACCACTGAGCGCCATCCATCCCAAACAGTTAGTTCCTCCGCAGTCAGTATTAGAAAGAGAAAAGGAAAAGCTGAATGTGGGAACGAGTACTTCACTGAGAAGAGAGGAAACGCAAACCCAGACTTAGGCTTTAACATCTTTATTAAATAAATGAACAATGGCAGCACAAATCAGCAGCACTAACTTTGGAAGGAAGAGGGACAGGTGTAGGGCTGAATATAATTGCTTATTTCACGGTCTTTCAGTGGCTGAAGAACTATGCCCAGGAACCACTGGCTCCCATCACATACTGCAACTACGGAAGGGCAAAGCTAAAGTGCTAAGAACCAAAACACTCTGCCTGTTCCATGACTGAATCACAATTTTATATAAATTATGCTAATACTACTCTGGTTTCTCTTTAGATCATATAAATCTTTTGCCTTTTATGGATTATCCTACACCAACGTTTCCCCATGAAGACTGAAATCTGTTCTCTCAAAGTTCCCAACCCACAGCTGGGAGCGGAGTTGTGAGGTGGATCCCATGCTTTCCCTCGCTCCAGTTCTCCAGGACGCGTTATTTCCTCTGTACCCATGACCACCCATCTTTCTGCACGACAAGAAACAGAACTTACTACCTAGCCTTTTAGGCATCCTGTTTTGTAGAAAGCATCTCAGAACTTCCAGATCCTCACTACTTCTTGAAATATTTGCTTTCTGGCCTCATGCAGGAAATCAGGGAGAATCAAGGAATCTCTGAAGCCGATTAAAATGTAATGTAAAAAAAAAAAAATCGGTTTCCCATTTTGCACAACTGCACTTCTCTCTGGTGCCCCAATACGGATGGTTTTCTGGGACTAGTTAATATCCTTGGGGTTGGGGTGGAAATCCCGTGATCTAGTACTCCTGTGACTGAACCCTGGACTTTGTGCCTAGAAGGCTTGTGAGAGAAATGGAGTAGGCAGATAAATAAATAAATAAATAAATAAATAAATAAATAAATAAGAAATAAATACATACAAACATACAATTCAATTGGCAGATTCATCAGCACCACCAGCACAATAGAGGGAAGAGAACAGTATTAGATGGAAAGGCTTAGAAAGGACCGGGCTTAAAAGGGAAGGCAGTGGGGTAAGGGGTGGGAGAGAGAAGCTTTGGCCTTAGAGCAAGTCCAGGTCGATAGAGTGGATGCTGGCAATGGGAGCTCTCCAGAAGTTGAAGGTGCTGAACTCAAGGAGGGGATCACCTTCTGGGTTCTTCTGCTCTGCTCCGCTTGCTTGACCGCCCATTTTGACACCGTTGCTGTCTGTGCTCTTGTAGATAGATGTATCTGACAGGCCCAGGCCTTCCAGCTCCGACAGATCCAGTTCTGGGATGGGCATCCTCCAGAAAAGGAAGGAGTTGTACTGGCTACTCACAGGGTCCCTCATAATTCCCTGGGGAAGAGCAAGTCACTTGTTAGTCTCCATGCCAGAGCAAGCTCCTTGCCCGAGCCTTCCCTTGCTTGAGCTGATCTTTTTTGTTTGCTCTGGTAAATAAGCCAAGGATTTTAAGACAAGTACCAGGACTTTCTATTACGATTCTGCACCAGCTCCTAACTTCTCCACTGCAGCAGGCTCACCTTGGCTCTAATTTTTCCCGCAGTAATATACCTCAGGTCTCATACACAGCAGGCAGGAGCTGTATCTCTATCCACTTAGGTCTGATTTCTGAGCCGTTACAAGTCTGGCCCCACTCTTTTTGTGTGTGGTATTGAGGGGTTAACAGAAGCTGGCAAATAAAACTCTGAATTATACCCTAAGCCCTCTTGTTACCTTTATTTTTAGACAGGCTCTTACTGACTTGCCCAGCCCAACCTTGAACTTGAAATCTTTCTGCCTCAGCCTCCCGAGTCACAGGCCTGGTCAACTAAGAATTAGTTAACTGTGCTGAGAACCAAAGGCAGGACTTTACATGTACTGGTCAAGGACCCTACACATTCCCAGAACCAAACATATGGCTTCTTCACGTCTGTTTACTAAGCTACGGTGTCTGTAAAGGTCTTCCATGACATGTTCGCATTTCCTCTTGCCTTTAACGCAGCAACGAACTCACCTCCTCCAGGACATCTCCCCCAAAGCGGTGAGCTCCACCTACCTAGCCACCCCAGAGCCTTCCCCAGCACCCTGCATAATTTTACCTGACTCCATCCTGTTCTGGTTACAGATCACGATGGACTGGATATATATTATGTGTTTATCTCCTTAGAAGACCAAAAGTTCCTCTATGGCTAAAAACACACCTACTAGGCTGGGCATGGTGGCGCATGCCTTTAATCCCACCCAGCACTGGGGAGGCAAAAGCAGGTGATCTCTGAGTTCCAGGCTAGCCTGGTGTACAGAATGAGTTCCAAGGCTGTTTCAAAAGCAAGCAAATAAATAAATAAATAAATAAAATAAAAAATAAAAAACCAAAAAACATCTACTTTTGGGTGGAGCAGGAGCTAAACCTTACAGACCTTGCATGTAAACATTAATTTTCCCTAAGCACAGTGGACACTTTGCTACTCTTACTTACTTGTCCCCAGAATAACAAATCCTCACTATGTCTCTGGCCCATCTCTCCTCAGGACAAACCCAGACGCTAGAACAGCTTTCTTCCGCTACACCACGATCTTTTCCCGCTGACAACCGAGAGCAAGCAGGCTGGAAGCACCAGGTAAGGAAGCAAAGCTTACAGGGTAAAGAACGGTGCCTTGACAGACAGGGTCTCACTATGCAGGTCAGGCTGGCCTTGAACTCACCAAGAGCTGATGGAGAGATCAGAGATTACAGGCATATGCCACTATGCCCAACTCTTCTTTCCATGTTTTTTGGGGTTTGTTTGTTTCTTTGTTTTTCAAGGGCTTCTCTGGCTGCCCTAGAACTCCCTGAGATCTGCCTGCCTCTGCCTCGGGAGTTAACAATCAGTTGTGGTACCTTTGCTTCTCATGCAGCCCACACCCCCCTGACACTGTGACTAGCAGAGCTCTCTGGAGCCTTCGTGGATTATTTACTGGCCAGGGAAAGGGCAAGAAACTTTAGTTTAAAGGTTCCCAAAGGGGCAAAAAGAACATTCCACTGCCACCAAAAATAGAAGTTTCAAAAAGTCTTTCTGGAACACACTATCAGCTCTCACCAGCCTGTGACTCCTAAAAAGTGCCCTTAAGTAAGTTCCAAAGTGTCCCTATATGATGTGAAATGTCTCTGCCAAACGAGGAAAACTGACCTAAAACAGAAACTGCAGGAAATGCGGGGTTGGGGGTGGGTAAATGGTCAGCGGGTGGCCCAGAAGTGGGTTTTTGAGTCTTGCTCCAAACTCAGCTCTAGTTCAGGCTGACTTCAAACACAAAGCCTTCGTGCGGAGGTGCCCTAGTGCTGGAGTTACAGGACCGTATCACACCAGGCCAGAACTTTTGGGCTGGCTTTTTTTTTTTTTTTTTTTTAAGACAGGGTCCTCCTTCCTTTGAAACTTTTTGGGAAGAAAAAAAAAAAAAAAAAAAAAGACAGGGTCTTCCTCTGTAGCCCTGGCTGTTATGTAGTATGTAGTCAGCCATCTTCCTTCCTCAGTCTCCAGAGTGCTGGGATTCCAGCCCTGTGCCTTTCCCTGTGATCTTGTGCGAAGACAGACATGGGTGTCCACAGGTGTCACACGGTGAGTGTGTGGACGGCAGGAGAGGAGCACCACCCTGCTCGAGTGGCAAGTGCCCTGCTCTCTGAGACAGGCTCTAGCTGAACCTGGAGCTCAGTGGGCAGCCAGCAAGTCCAGCGATCCTGTCTCCACCCTCCCACGGGGCTACAGATGTAGGCGGTCACACCCAGCTTTTTATTTGGCTTCTGGGGATCTGAACTCAGGTTCTTTTTCTGATTTTTTTTTTTCCTTTGAGACAGGGTTTCTGTGTGTAACAGCTCTGGGTGCCCTAGAACTTGCTTTGTAAACCAGGCTGGGCTCGAACTCAGAGAGATTCACCTCCTCTGAGGCATTTGCAACCACCTTTGGGCCATCCCATGACCTTTGATAACATTAAAAAAATACTACCCGTTCTATTTATAATCCCAGCAATCAAGAGGCTCAGGCAGGAGTTTGAGGAGTATGTGTTTGGGCCCCGGCTGGGCAAGACTCTGGCTCAAGCAAAACAAAACAAGCAATATAATAATAATAATAAATAATTTTTTTTTTCTTCAGGCAAGGTCTCATAGCTCAGAATAGCTTCAAAATGTAATTCCTGATCCTCCTGCCTCCATCTGCCAAATGCTGGGGTTACAGGCATGGTCCAAGATACATGGCTTAAAAAAAGCACATTCTGGGTTCTTTCATCCATCCTTCCCCTTTCATCCTCCCTTCCCTTTCCTCTCTTTCCCTCCCCTCCCCCCCTCTCTCATCAAGCTCCAAAATAAGCCCCTGGGAGCTGAACATTACTCAGCAGAGAAGTAGTTTAACAAGAGCGTGAAGCCGGACTGCAGCAGGGCCAAGGAGTTAGCAGAAAGATGAGGTCATTGCCCCAGGAACTCAGCTCTGACCATCTCCATGGGAACGTGCAGAGAGTTAGCAAGCATGACTGCACCTATAACACCTTTGAGCTAACCAAGCCCCACTGAGGTCTGGACTACAGACACTAAAGAGCATGCCTTAGAAGTCAGGCTGTTACTGACTGTGCTTATCGGGAAGTTTATGACATCACCAGGTGTGGCCTTGTTAGTCTACTTAAAAAAACACCTTCCCTTAAAAGTCTCCTACAGAGTGACCTTCTTATAACACAGGGCATATAATAAACTGTTTTCCACAGACAATGACACAGGTAAGTCTGTGAACTAAAGTAGCAGAGGCTGACCTTGAACTTCTGACACCCAGATTACATAATTAAAACAAACAACAACTACTAGGAAAAAAATTGTTTTTGTTCTTTTGAGCAAGGATCTAGCTATGTGACCCAGGCTATGTAGAATCTTATTATATAGCCTGGACTAACCTGAAACTCAAGATTCTCTCTAGTCTCAGCTTCCAGATTCTGGGTGCTGAGATCACAGACATCACCATCACACCTAGCTTAAAATGAGAAACAAACATATTTCTTTTTTTTTTAATTTTATTTATTATGTATACAACATTCTGCCTCCATGTATGCCTGCATGCCAGAGGAGGGCACCAGATCTCATTACAGATGGTTGTGAGCCACCATGAGGTTGCTGGGAATTGAACTCAGGACCTCTGAAAGAGCAGCCAGTGCTCTTAACCACTGAGCCAACTCTCCAGCTCCCACAAACATATTTCTTAAGCTGCGTTATTTGAGACGCGGTCTCACTATATTGCCCTGGCTGCCCTAGAACCCATTTTGTAGGCCATGCCAATCTTGAACTTACAAAGATCTGCTTGCCTCTGCCTGCGGAGTGTTTGGATCCAAAAGGTGTGTGCCGTTGCACTCAACTAAAACCGTGAAAACCAGACGACACCTTAGATTGTTCAGGAGCTGGCTTGGGTGTCCTGTTGATGTGCACCCCAAGTCTCATACTTCTAGTACAATCCGAGAGCTCTTGCTGTCCTTCCAGAGGACCTGGGTTCCCAGCAACCACATGGCAGCTGATAACCAACGCCAGTTCCAAGGCATCTGACACCGTCTTCTCAGGAGCAGGCATGTTCTTGGCATTCATAAAAATTAAATCTTTTTTTTTTAAACTTGAATTTTTTTTTTTTAAATCTCTGTGTGTGCTGGGTGGTGGTGGCACACGCCTTCAATCTAGCACTCGGGAGGCAGAGGCAGGCAGATCTCTGTGAGTTTGATGCCAGCCTGGTCTACAAAGTAAGTTCCAGAACAGAGAAACCCTGTCTCAGAAAAATAAATAAATAGAAATCTGTGTGTGTTGTGTGTGTGTGTGGGGGGGGGGGGCTGGGCATGCCTAGGTAGAGGTGAGAGGCCTTGCCTTCTGCTTGTCTGACCTTGTAAACCAGGCATGCTGGGTTGGGAGCTCCAGGAGCTTCTCCTGCTCGGCCTCCATCCTGCTGTAACCTGATAGCTGCACTCCAGTGTCCAGCTTTATATGGGTTCTAGGGATTCCAGCTCAGTTCCTCACACTTGGGTGGGTAAAGATGGCTTTACCTACTGAGCCATCTCCATCCCACTCCTGGCCTGGTATGTCCCTCAATCCTGCCTCAGCTTCCATGGAGCCTGGAATGTAAACATGTTCTACCATGCTCCATTACAAATTTTCACCAGGCGGTCGTGGCCCATGTCTTTAATTCCAGCACTCTGGAGGCAGAGGCAGGCACCTGTGAGTTCTAAGCTAACCAGAGTTACACAGTGAGAGCTGTCTGAAAAAAAGACATCTGTTTGTGGTTTTATTTTTATTTCTTTTTTTAAATCTATTTATTTATTATGTATACAGTATTCTGTCTGCATGTATGCCTGCAGGCCAGAAGAGGCCACCAGATCTCATCACAGATGGTTGTGAGCCATCATGTGGTTGCTGGGAATTGAACTCAGGACCTTTGGGAGGGGCAGTCAGTGAGTGCTCTTAACCCCTGAGCCATCTCTCCAGCTCCTATTTTTATTTCTTAAATAAGGTCTTAACATGTAGCCCAAGTGCTGGCTTCTAACTTGGAATCCCTGCCTCTGCCCCTGAGTCCTGAGATTACAGGTGTATGTGCCACCACTCCCAGCAAAGAATTTAGTTCTCGGTGCTGGGCAGATGGCTCAGCAGTTAAGAGCACTGGCTGCTCTTTCAGGAGTTAATTTCCCACAAACCACACGGTGGCTCACAACCATCTATAGTGGGATCTGATGTCCTCTTCTGGCATAAAAGCACACATGCATAAAAAGAATTTAGTTGTCAAAATAATTCTTTTCTTAGTATATTCTGCAGACCTCCTTCTGAGGTTCTGACTAGGAGGAGAGCTGGGTATAGTAAGGAACTCCTACAACCCCAGCATCTAGTAGGTGGAGGCAGGAGGATCAGGAGTTGTATGAAAGCCAACAAACTGTCTTGAAAAATAGAGACTAAGCTAGCATCATTAAGTCAGCGTTGACAACCTGACTCCTTTCCTTTCAACTGTAACACGTATAACAGCTGCCTAAACAATTGATCAGAGACTGCACTGAACTGTCTTCCAACTGAAACAGCTAGATTCAGGTGTGGAGGCACACAGCTGCAGTCCCAACCCTCAGCAGGCTGAAGGACCGTGAGTTCAAGCCTAGCCTGGGCTGCACACTGAGTCCAGAGACCCACCCCGCAAACCAAAACAAAAGGAACATGAACAAAACACAAAACTAATTCAAATAAAACAATTTAAAGGAAATTATGTGGAAATATTTAAAGGAAATATTAAAAAGCTGAAAATCTCCAGCCCGGAGACATGTCCAGAGACCCAAATTCGTTTCCAGAAAGCAGACACACAGGTATATGTAGCATTAAAATAAGAAGACAGGCTGCTTTCAAGCTGGCTTCCCCTTCCTTCCTTAACCGCTCTTCACCCATCATTTTACCTGTCTGTCTGGAGGCTCTGGATGGTGACTGACGACATGGCACACGGCACACGCTCAGTAAATGTGCCATCCATTTTGAACTACCCCGATATTGTAGGTAAAGTAACTTCTAAATTTCATTGTCAGTTCTTCGAGACACACTTTCTTTAAGCCATGTGGACACACCCAAATACCCTTTGTCTAGACTGCGCCCCCCAGGAGCACCCAAGGCCTGCTCCACAGGGCCTTGCTGTGTCATGCTGCCACCAAGCAGCCTGAGCAGGGCTGGTGGAGGATGGAGCCGGAAGCTTTCTGGTGTGTCTCACGTTGCTCTGGGATTTTCCTACTAGCCACAACCTTCCCCCACAAACTAGGAGGGGCTGCAAAGAAAAATCTGTTCTCGGCAGTAGTTCCTGTGGGCTGCACTGATTCCAACATGCAATCAGGCAATGGCACAGCTGCCCCCACCTGTCCTACCTCAAGCCTCTTCGGGGTGAAAATCTGAGACAGGGAAGAGATTGCATAGTATCCCGTGTCAAAAAAGAAAAGGAAAAGGAAAAAGGAGTACTCCCCAAAACTCCCTACCACAGACACAGAACCGTGAGGAGGGTGGAAACCCAAGAAGTAGAGATTGCAGGAATTACAGTAGGAATAAAGATTCACCAAATAACTGGTAGCAAAATTATAGCTTGAAAAGGAAGATACAGATAACTAGCCACTAGACAGAAGCCATTAGATGCACAAGGCAAAAATTATCGGAAAATGGATACACGAAATGAAGAGCTAAATGCCGAGAAATAATTACAGGTAAAGTGTTGGAAATTAATGCTTAGGTCCACGATAAGGCATAGATGGAGATCTTAACAGATAAAAAGCTGGTAACAGCTACCCATTGTTCAGAGCGCCCCCTTCTCTCCTCTGAAACGGTCCCCCACCTAGTCTCACATGGGGGTCTTTCAAGCTTGAGAAGCCGCCCCTCAGCTAGGTTACCTGTTATCAATGAATGACTGGCGTGTTCCGAAGATGGAGAGAATGCCTCAGGGGCTCGGGGGTCTGCTGTGGACCGGAGAGGAGGAGGCTGCAGAAAAAAGCTGTTAGTGATGAGACGGCTTTGTCTGCTCACGCCTTCTGCCTCGTTTGTGACAGAGTCGGCCGCTGGGTCTCCCCTGCAATGCAGCCCCTCCTAGCAAGGGCGGAAGCACTCCCCGCCCCCTCTCTGCCTGACTCGGCTAATTCGAATGATAGGTTCCGGAACACGCCACCCAGGCTAGAGCCTCTCCATCGGCTCGCACGGCACCCACATCTCTCCAGCACCCTCGTGCTGACCGGGGTGCAATGGCTGGGCAGTTAATTGTCCTCTAACTTATATGCATGGGTTAAAAAGACTTTCCGCTAGACCACAAAACGCTCCTCCTTTTCACTCTAAGGACCGAAGGGGACTTTAGAAGACCCGGAAAGGGCCCCGGCGCGCGGTCACCTCTGCACCTGCAGCAGGTGGACAGACAGCACACACACTTGGGGTGCCGGGGGTGTCCAGGAGCGCGGTGCTTCCCGCTGTCCCCGCGGGCCACCCCGTGCGCCTCGGCAGGCCTGGGCGGAGCGCTGCGCTCGGCTCGCAGCCCGCGGGTTTCGTAATCGCGTCGCCGGCGTTTCCGCCCTCGGCCGGCCCCACCTCTGCCGGCCCGCCCTCGACTCCCCGCCGTGCGGAGCAGCAGCCCGGGATCCCGGAGTGGCGGAGCCCCCGCCCGCAGCGGCCGCCGCCTGGACGGACGCCGGGGAGCCGCAGGTGAGAGCGCCGGGCGGGTCGGGCTGCGCGCGGGCGGCGGGGAGGAGGTCGCAACGATCACAGTCCGCGCGCGGGCGGCGCCAGCCGGGGAGAGGCAGGGACGCGGCGATTGCAGCGTGGGGCCGGGTGGGAGGTGCGAAGCGACAGGGGCTCCTCGCCGGCCCACTAACCTCAGAGGTCTGCTGTCCCAGACAAAACGAAGTGGTGCTGGGGCCCCGGAAGGTCTAAGCCAGACTGAGGCAGCCAAGGACAACAGTGACAGAGCCACAACGATCCACTGAGGTTCTCATCCTAGTTCGGAGTGGGTGGGGGAGAGAACTGGAGTCTGATGGAAAATATTGGGGGAGGGGAACAAATTAGGGTCTCCTGTGTCCTCTTAAGTCCCCAGAAGCCGTTTCCTGGGGTTCGGGCATGGTTGGTGCTAGGACAAATGGTCTGTCACTTGACTGGAAATGGGGCCCGTTCCTCTCTCCAGGACCTCTCAGGAGCCCGCCGTGTCTGGAGGGTCTCCATGCAGGGACCAGCTGCATCCCTGGGCTTACAGCCAGGATTTGCCCACACCATTCTCGAGTCTCTTTCTCTCCAGCTGCTTCTTGTGAAGGCTTGTCAGACAGCGGGTTGGAAGCCTTGAGGCTGGAGGCAGCGGGACCGGGAAAACCGGTTTGGGGCTACCACAGGACCGGGGAACTACCTGTGTACATCCTTCCTCTCCGGCTCCTTACCCCCACCCCTCTCCTGCTCGCCCCTCTCCAGCTCTTCCGTCTTCAAGGCCCACCGTGATCATGCCGGTGGTTTGGAGATTGTCACTCCAGGTTCTGGATTTCGTGTGGAAATGAAAGGGGCCCCACTGTCAGGATGTGGATCTATGCCTAGATCCCTTCTCTTTTCCCATCTCCTTCCTTTTTCTGTGGGGGATGAAGGAGTGGGCAGTGGCTCCAGCATCGCTGCCGCCTCGGCTCACCAGCTGAGGCCTCGCTTGTCCCCATCCCAATCGTTGGCTGCTTTAAAACAGAGTGACAGCCAATGCCTAGTACTTCCTTTTCTGGCTTTGTTCCTCTTCCCCCCACCCAACACTACCATATTGACCCTGGCCTGTCTTCACACTCTGACACCGCCTCCAAGCTTCAGAGACCCTAATGTCCTAGGGAGTGGAATTTCCTGGTCACTTCTCATCATCATTGGTTGTTTCTTGCCAAGTCCCACACACACACTTTCCCTCCACCCATCTTGGTCAGGTCCCTGGAAGAGAAACAGAAAGGTCCTTGTTTCCTCCAGGGCCCCCTTTCCTCTCCCTCCTCTCCTCCCTCCTCCCAGCACTGGCCACCTCTGTCCACTGCGCTCTGAGCAGGGTGGGGAATACTGGGTAGAGCCCTTCCTCAGTTATAGACTGTCTGGTCGTGTTGGGGGTTTCCTCTGATTCTTTATTGTTTTCTCCATTTCCCCAAACCCTTACCACCTGCCACCATCATGACAAACCTTGTGACCGTGTTCCCACTGGTCAGCCTCCCCTCCCTGGGCAGCTGTGTTCTGACCAGTCCTGGTTACTCCTGCCTGCCTTCCAGGGGCGGGAAGGGAAGTGAAAGAGAAGCCGAACCTTGGGTTCTTTCCTACCCTAGAGCAGTATTTCCCTGCTTGAGTGATCTCATCTCAGGGCTGCTAGAAAACAACACTCAACAAACAAACAAAACTCAGTTTTTTTGGTCTGTCTAGGCTACTGGAGCACCCGGCTCCAGCCTCAAGCCTAGAGGCTCATTCCTATTCATGCTCATGATTAATATTCATGGGCTGCCCTATTGGACTCCTGTGCTGGACTTTGCTGTAGAGAGGGAAGTGCAGAGGAAAGCAGATGGGCTGTCACCCCAGGTTGGCAGCAGTGAGGAGGGAGAAACTTCCTCCTGGGACACAGTGCTGCTGGAAAGTTCCTGTGTGTCTGGCTCACTGGTGGAGCCTGGAAGTGGGGAGAAAGAAGAGAGGTCAGAGCGGGAGGGAAGGGGGAAGGGAGGTCTGAGCCTTACAGGGTGTAAGACACCCAACAGCACAGGATGGAACACGTGGAAAAGGGTGGGGAGGCTCAGAACAGAAAGCCACTCTGCACGTTACCTGTGGGGCCACGGGTAGGTGCACACAAGTCTGCAGTGCTCTCGGGGAAAGGCAAGGTCAGATACTAACTCTGACTGGACTCTGGGAGGCCCTTGGACTTCAGCTGGGGGAAGTGTGTGCGGAGGAACAAAGTCAGTGTACTGAGAAGGAGAAATTCCCCGCTCCAGAACACACTGCCCGTCTCCTGGGCTCTGACTAGGTGGTCCTTAAAGCTGGAGGTGTTGGGGCAAGGTAAGAGAAAAGGGAGGGACAGGGCGGAGGCCTTGTTTGTGAGAACAGAAACCACTATTTCCTCTTCGGAGTCTCTTACGTGCCCTCCCCTCCTGCCCTCGCCGTGGCGAAGGGAACTGAAGGCAGTAGCACCCCTTCACTCTGTCATTTCTGTCACCGTCTCATCCCAAGTTCTCTTAGCCCCTTCTTCCTTGGTCCCAGTTGTCATCCTCCTGACCCGGTTGGTCTTTTGCACTATCCCTTGTGAGGAGCAACTGTGAGCATTCCTGTGTTTGAGAGGGACAGGACTGGGGGACAGCAATAGCCTCCACGAGAGAAGATGAAAGTGTATCAGGTCTCTCAGGGAAAGGGACTGGGGAGGGATGCTTCTCACTAACAATTCTTTTTCTTTCTGCTAAAATTCAGGATTTCACATCGAAAGAAGACAGAACCTTGTGCCTGCCCGCCCAAGCCTTTTGCTGGTGTTTTTAGGGGCCCCGGGTCTGAGACTCTGACCTTCACTACACTAGTGAGGGTCTCTAGGATTCCCACAGCCCGAGAACCATCTAGCTGTGTGAATCCCGGGTGCTGTTCCGCCTGAGAGTGAGGACTGGCTGGTTAGCAACAAAACAAGAGCCCTCTGGGGCCTCTGGCAGAGGCCCGAAGCTGGAACCATCAGGGAATATGAGTGAATTTTGGCACAAACTGGGCTGTTGCGTGGTAGAGAAGCCCCAGCCGGTAAGTTTCCTGTCCTCACCCTGCCACACACAGAAATTCGTTACCATGTGCTGAGAACTGGACACGCCATCTCTGATCTGCCTTCTGAGAAACACTTGTCTCCCCCACCCCCTGAATTTCTGTGGCAGGGTATGGTCCCGTGCAATAAAGGAGACAGAAGAGCTGAACAGCTCTGTCACCTGCTCCTGTTCTGAGGTGGCAGGGGTCGTAGGTAGAACTTGAGGCCTGTCAGTTGTCCCCTCATCATCCTAGGTGCCTTTGCTTTGTCCCTTTCTCTGTGTAGTCACTCAGCAGGCCACCACTCTGGTGACATTGTCTTGGATTTGTTCCAGCTCTGTCTGTCTTTCCTACCCTGATGTTTGCCCATTACACTGCCAAGTCAACCTTAACTCTTGGTGGTTTTCCAAGCCTCCTTCCCCTTCCTCCACGGGGGAGAAGGCTGCCTGTGTGATTCCCTGTCTTCTCCGAGCAGAAGAAGAGGAGAAGACGGATTGACCGCACCATGATTGGGGAACCAATGAATTTTGTCCACTTGACTCACATCGGCTCGGGAGAGATGGGGGCAGGAGATGGACTTGCCATGGTAATAAGGGAAGAGCGGGTGTTTATTTGGGGGTGTCGTCAAGCGAGGGACATAACACAGTACTTAATGGGGAAACAAGAATCTTAGATTGTAGCCCTGGTCCCCAGTGGTGTGGATTTCTGATCTCTAGGGCTAGCTCCCTTCTTTACAGTTAGCACTGGGTCTTCATTGGAGTATAAATGTTGTGATATTGAAGGCCTTTTTCTCAGACCATGGGTCTCCTTATGAAGAACCTAAGCAGAGCTGGGACGCAACTCAGGTGGTGGAGTGCTGGCTCGCCTAGCATGCAGAAAGCCCTGGGCTTGATCTTCAGCCCTGCAGAAGCTGGGTGTGGTGACTCACACCTCTAACCCCAGCACTCAGGAACTAGGGACCCGAGGCTCAAGGTCATCTTGTACAGAGAGTCTGAGGCCAACTTGGCCTAGAGACCCTATCCCAAAATAGAAAAAAGAAAAGAAAAGAAACCTGTTCAGTCAGTGTCAGAGCGAGTCACAGGGTGACTGGGCGTCTTGGGCCATGTAAGGGTCTGTTCTAAATAATGTCTTAATTATTTAATACTGTTTTTTTAATACTGGTTACAAAACTCACAGGAAAATATTGGAGTGGTGTGAGTGTGTGTGTGTGTGTGTGTGTGTGTGAGAGAGAGAGAGAGAGAGAGAG